GGACCGATACCGGACCGCCAGATGGCAGCTAGGACAGCATGCAACCTCCGTGCCATAGGTTCCCCACCAGCCTTTAACAGTTCAGCTGGAATGCCACTGCTTTGCCATTCTACAGCTTGGAGATCGCCTCCATACCTTCAGTTAGGGAGGATGGATCCTCATTGATGGGTTGGTCTGGCAACGTAATCTTGGCACTACCCACATCCAAGTTAACTGTTAGTGGGTCAATCTGGTACAACTGCTCAAAATACTCAGTCCAACGCTCCAACACTGCAACAGGATCTGAGACTAAGCGAATTGCAGTCACTTGTGAAGTAGGCTTGGAGATTTCTTAGGGCTTGGTATGCAGGACGAAGGTCATTTACTAAGAGGCCTTCGACCTCCTCAGCAAGACTCCTAATATGCTGTTCCTTGCCCCTTCTTAACAGAGACAGAGTTCTGCACACCTGAGAATGGTGCAAATCCCAATCCCCTGTCAGATGAGCTGCATGGCAAGCATCTATCTTCCAGTGTCTCCCATGATAAAATTCTGTCTTGTCTTCGGGCGTTCACCAGACGATTCTTGGGCTGTATCAAGTGTTTCACGCTTGAAGGTGTCCCACAGAAGTACAGGGTCCGTCAGATTATCGAGTGCTGTGAAACGCCAAGAGATTGCCTCAGCAAACCCCTAAGCACTCTCCCCCTGATTCAGCCTGTCCAAATGAAACGCCCTAGGGTGATCATTAGACCGCTGGGGAGTTTTGAAGTGTACCCAGAAGGTAGCCACAACCAATCTATGGTCAGTACCACAGAACTCAGCACTCCTATACACCCTGCAATTCTGGAGGATCCTCCAACGAGTGCTAACGAGTATGTTGTCAATCTCCTTGGCTGCATTACCCCACATTGCTGTACTATGTTCAACAATGTGGGTCTGAGTGCTGGAACCAGGAACCAGAAATCCTCAAATCCTGGGATCTAGCAAAGTCCTGGAAAAGGAGGCTATTCTCGCTGCCGGTATCAGCTCCCGAACCATGAGGACCGACAGACATCTCATAGCCAGCTCGATCACAGCCAGATTCCGCATTGAAGTCACCCAGAACAATACGGATATCTCGCCGGGGACAACTGTCTGCAACAGATGCAAGTTTGGCGTAGAACATCTCTTTCACGTCAAGTTTACAAACATCGGAAGCGTACACAGCAATAAGAGACATGAAGCCAAATGCTAGCTTCAGTCTCAATGCTATTATTTCATTGACTTTTACGAAAATGTGTATAGACAATGTATAAATATATAGGCACATGCACACATATGCAAACACACACACACAAACAAGCACATTAACACCCTTAAACGTGAACCGAAAAAATAACATTACAACGCACCAGTCATCTTAATTTCCTGTTCTAGTTTTAGGACAGCAATGTCATTAGTTGGGCCATGGCGTCCACTGTAATAGTCCGGATGAACGAATGCTTTTGCAACGGGAATCCGCTGGGTAAATTTCTCCTTCACCTTTAGATTGTGTATGCCTACAGTTACATTCATTTGCTCATTCTTATTGCTAAGGAAAGAAGAAAAAAAGGAAAATGAAAGGAAAGGATAGGAGAGCAAATTATTATGGCGAGAAGAAAGAGTAAAAAATGTATAAGCTGTAACATATGCAGAAACAGGACTGGGCTATGCCAGCATACTGTTGTTGTTGTTATATATTATTACTTTTATTATCAATATCATTCTTATCATTATTGATATTTTTGATAATTATATTATCATTATTACGAATATCTATATTAATTTTATCATTATCATTACATGTATTACCATTAGCATTATTATCATTATTATCAACATTGTCACCATCAGTACTTACCCTGATATGCAGTGGGCAGCTGTCAGGACAAACAGTTTACTGATGACAACACCCCCACAGAAATATTTTCCTGTTGTCCAAGCAGCCTGGTACCCGCGCTTGTACGGCTCTGCCTCATTGCCTCCCACGATGCGCTGGTCAGCTGAGAGGAGGGTGAAATAGTGCTAATTTTGAGTATGGATTATAGTGTGTGTTTGGGTATTGTGTGTTGTGTTGGGTGGTGTGTGAGTGCAGATAGCATGGCGTGAAAGTGACAGCTGCATTACTGACAATTTCTCATTTTTCAACATATCCTTATGTTTCCAACCATTGTGTTTCGTATTTAGTAATTAAAAAAAAAAATCACGATTTTAACAATAATGGCCACAGCAAATATAGCAATCATTATAATGGCAAAGTGTGTGGGTGCGTTTTAGTGTGTATGTATGTGCCTATGCTTGTATCTGTGGGTTTGAGCGTATGTATGTATGTTTGTATGTGTGCAGGTGTACGTTTGTATGTGTGCGTGCGCATGTATGTAACCATGTACGCATATATGTATATGTATGTGTGCGCGGAGACAGAGACTTACAAAGAGGAGGTCCTTCAGAAGACTCAGGAGGAGGAGGTCCTTCACCAGAGACCTCGACTGGAGGAATCGGGGTCTGGAAAATAAATTTAATCATATAAGTTACAATTTATTACCTACAAAGCATGCAACTTGTTATGTAAAGCTGTAAAAATAAGAATAATTTCCCCTAATCAAACGCCGTTTAGACTCTGTGAGGACGACAGTGGTTACGCTTCTCTCTCGACTTTTGAATAGTATAATTACTTTCATGGATATCATTTAATAAAGAACTATTTATTTGGATTTGGTAGAATAGAAAAGGAAATGTATTCTAAGCTCATAAGAATGAAGCTTACATTGAACAAAATATGGTTTTGTCCCTAGATCTGTTCAACAATATATGCCTAACTATTTTTTGTACACTTTATAGCATTTTATCAGGGGAGTTATACATAGTGTTGAGGGCACAGACATAATCGCAGCAGTATAAATTATAACTACCATTCATTTACACAACCATAACACACTGTATAACAAACATCACAAATGATATATAATTAATCCCTTACAACAGGTTTACGGCATCTCACAATTAATATTCGAATTGTGGAATGGAAGGGAAACGAGGACCGTCTCAATTGCCCGTCATTATCGCAAGCACCATGCATGAACACAATCACTGTACTTTTATTACTAAATTATCGAGTATAATTACCGAACAGATGTAGAGTGCCTGGCCCATAAAAGCAAGAGGGCGAAACAACACAAAATAAATAAAGTAAATAAAAAATGAATACATGAAAAAAAATTACCTTCAATTTAATATAATTCTAAGATAACAAAAACAATGTTCTCAGATCCAAATACGATATTCCGCGGTTCGCCATAATGGTCGTATATTACTAACTGGTACAGGTACAGTTTCTTAATTACATTACAAGTGGGTACCCCTTTTGTACAACTAGCAACCTCATCGACGTAAACGTAGCGTAAATAGTATCTTTCATGAATGTTGTTTGTAAGAAAATGTGATTCGAAACCTATGAATAACAAGTGCTTATTATTATCCTATTTTTGGAAAGTATATGTCATTTGATCTTTCATTTACCTCAAATAAGTGACAAAAACGTGTGACATTAGTTATCGTCGACTTTGTAGTGGGATATTTTCCAAATGCGATTTCCTGAAATCCTCTTCATCGAAATGGCAACACTTATGGAGGCCAGGCGGTATTCGCCCTCCCTCTTCTTTCAACACAAGGATAAATAATAACTGCACATTTCTTGAAATATAAAAAGCTAAATATTTCTTTTAACACATATGTACAGCAGGCAAATCAAATGAAAATCGCCGAGTCCTTTGTAAATGCTTTTCGTAGTTGCACNGCTCCACAATGACTTTTGAAACAGTTAGCTTTTGCCCATTATCTAGTCCATGCAAGTGTTGAAAAAGCGTTGGTGCAAGGAACAGCTTAGCCCATTATCTAGTCCATGCAAGTGTTTGAAAAGCGTTGGTGCAAGGACACAGCTTTGCCCTTTATCTAGTCCATGCAAGTGTTGAAAAGCGTTGGTGCAAGGACACAGCTTAGCCCATTATCTAGTCCATGCAAGTGTTGAAAAGCGTTGGTGCATGGACACAGCTTAGCCCATTATCTAGTCCATGCAAGTGTTGAAAAGCGTTGGTGCAAGGACACAGCTTAGCCCATTATCTAGTCCATGCAAGTGTTGAAAAGCGTTGGTGCAAGGACACAGCTTAGCCCATTATCTAGTCCATGCAAGTGTTGAAAAGCGTTGGTGCAAGGACACAGCTTTGCCGCACTCCTGAACTAACAGGGAAAAAGCTTGACAGGCCCCCACCACACTTTACAGCACTTTCATTACCAGTATACAGACTTGCTATTAGTCCAATAATCCTTGTTGGAATTCCTCTCAGGCTCAAGATCTCCCAGAGTGATTCCGATGCACCATATCCAATGCATTCTTGAGGTCGATGTAAACTGCAAGTAGCCCACGCCCGAACGCACGACGACGCTCTATAATGACTCGAAGCGCTAGGATCCGGTCTATTGTGGGCTTACCAGGAGTAAATACAGATTGCTCCAGTCTCTGACGCCTCAGTATGTCAAGGAATTGTATTAATTATAATGTATTCATTATACATTTAATTTAAAGGAAATTGAACCTTATTTGAACTTGTATTTAGTTGCGTTTGTAAGTACCATCCCTTACGCATTGCGCATGCGCGGTGGTTCCCCACTACATAGCCACCTGGGGGGGTAATCGTTCACTCCACCATAACACTTGCTCATGGGAGCACTGTGAAACATCATCTCGTAAGTGACCGCCCTTTTGTATACTTATTAGCTTATTCTTGTATAGGAAACTTTTCCTATACATATTTATTAAATCAACTTTTTATTTTCTTTCACAGCCTTTTTAACGTTTGTAAAAAAAAATTATCAAGAAAGGCTGGACAGTATTAATCGGCGCACGGCCTTGATAGTCGTCCGTGACACGCCCCCTCCTAAGAACAAGTCTCGCATCAGTATAATTGTAAAACATCCTACGGACTATATTATTTGTAATTTTATTTATTCGTTTGTTTATCAATATATTTGGCATATAAAAAAATATATCTTTTTATACCCCTTTCTTTTAAAAGGTATCTGGATAATGAAAAGGTAAAGGTGAATTACCAATACTTAACTAAATCAAAAGAACCGACAGTGGCGCAGTGAGTAGGATTGGTAATTACGGAACGGCTTTTCATTATTCGGTATACTTTTTTTCAAGAAAGTGCGGAAGTGTGAAGATAATTAACATCTATGATTTTCTATTAACATGCCATATATTTTTAGGAGTGTTTCCAACATTAGTTTTCCTGAGGCATCATTCCGAATGAGGATGGTGAGTCCATGTAAACGCCAAACATACGCGTAAGGGAGATATAGGTGAGGTGGCTGTGATTGTTACATTCAGTAATTGTAGCGACAGTGTTTCTCCTGTTAATGAACGAGGCAGGTGTAGTTTTCGCTGGATGTCCTGCATTTCTGAATAGCCCGAAGCTGTTTTTCGCTTCATATTATTTTCACGTTACGAGGATCTTATGCGTAATTGTCACTCTTACTTAATATAAATCCTAGATTTGTGTAACTTTTGTGATCAGCTTTTAGTAATTAAATAGCTGTTTGTATCACATGACCGAATTAATGTATATTCGTATTTTCATAATTTATTAATGTATCTTATATATATATATATATATATATATATATATATATATATATATATATATATATATATATATATATATTAGTGTGAATTTCCATGATGAGTAATATTGTGGATATAATGAGAGAGGCTCAGGCGCTCGGCATGAGTCCTGAATCTGTACAAAGACTCATTGAACAGGAAATGAAATCCGCGGCTGAAAAAGCTGAAAGGGAAGAGCGGGCTGCCGAACGCGAAGCTAAGAAATTGGAGATGGAGTTAGCAGATGCTGAAAAGCAAAGAGTACATGAACTTGCTATTGCTCAACTACGCGTTGATTCAAACGAAACAAACAATGCTAGTGGTGTTTCTGCTCCGCTATACGAGGGTTTACACTTGCCGATGTTTTGTGACGGGCAGGATGATATCGATTCATACTTGCAACGGTTTGAAAGATTAGCAGATTTGCATAATTGGCAAGAATGCGATTATCATATCCATTTAGGGTCGTTATTGAGAGGTCACGCACTTAAGACGTACGTATCTTTGCCTGACGAAACAGTTAAAAATTACTGTAAACTTAAAGAGGCTTTGCTAAGGGCATATTCCGTCGATGCTGATATGTACAGGCGTAAATTCCGAGAAAGCAAGTGTAAAGGAAAGGAATCTTTCGTTCAACTGGTCGTAAGAATGGAGCAGTATTTGGATAGATGGCTTTCTCTCAGTGAAGTGAAGAAAGATTATGATTCTATTTTTGACTTCCTTATTCGAGAACAGTTGCTGAGTAATTGTAATTCAGACCTTAGAGTTTTCCTTAAAGAACGTCAATTCAGCAATTCCCTGGAGATGGCTGAATCTGCAGACAGATACCGTAGTGCACATAATTACCGCGTGAAATCAGTCGGATTTTCTCAGCCTCCAAAAGTTATTGCTACACCTAAAGATCATGTAGAATATTCATGTCATGGTTGTGGTAAGCCAGGACACATTAGACCCAATTGCCCAGATAACCCAAGGAATTTCAAGTGTAAGACTAATAATGAAGCTAAAGTAAATTTTGTTTTCGAGTCCGAGTTAAAACCTAAAACTTGTATCATTGATAATAAAGGATATGTTTTCAATAAACCTGTGGAAGTAATGCTCATCAAAGTTTACGAATATTTAGACATATGTAAGATGTTCCCTCAAGTGAGATGCTTTATTAAGTGCAAATTCTTTACAGGCTGCCCCTGTAAAGTTCGCAGATGTTCTGATGGGATTAATGCCAGGTGTGAAGCTCCCTTGTGAGGACGAAGGTTCTAGGGTATCCGCCGCTATTACAGATGAACATCCTACGTCGGTTCATTCCGAAATTAAATCTGATCTGTCTTGTCCACTTGATTGTGAGGTATGTAAGTCTGAGTTTCCTTGTTCAGAGGGAAAAGTTACTGAATCGACAGCAATGTCCATGGCTGTTCAGACGCGTGCTTCAGTAAAAGGTGATAAAGGAGCAAAGCCAATATCTTGCCCAAGTTTAACTGATCTTGATGTTAATAAGAATGATCTTAATGAGGCTCAAAAGACCTGTTTTACTGGTAAAACTGAGAGAGTTAAGTCTCGCACGGTAAAGTACGAGTTGATAAATGGATTAATCTTTAGAATTTGCGTAGAAAGTAAACTTGTCCACGAGGTGGGTAAGAAACAACTTATAATACCAGAGATATATAGGGTTAAAGTACTCAGCATAGCTCATGATGCACTTACTGCAGGTCACTTTTCTCACAGGAAAACTAGTTATAAGATATTTCAAAAGTTTTTCTGGCCAGGAGCTGGAGCTCAGATTAAAAGATACTGTAAATCCTGTCATATCTGTCAGAAGACTTCAGCCAAAGGTAGCGTTAAGAGA